GAGGGCCAGCCTCCCGTGTTGCTGCCCACAGGGCGTGAGGCAGGACCAAGCAGAGAGGACCAAATATGCTCTCCAGACCAGTCTCAGAAGATGCCCTGCTGCCTGAGAGCCCGCTTCCATCTTCTCCGTGTCAACAAGCTCTGGACAGACAGAAGGACAGACAAAAAGTGCCCAGAGGGCATCACGGGTGTGCTGGGGAGGAGTAGCCAGCAGGATAGGAAGTTCAAGGCCAGCCTGGACTACAGGTCCTGTCTCCAAAACCACCATCCATCCATGCATCCATCCAGCCATTCAAGCAAGCGAACAAACCAACAAAGGAAACCAAGAGAGAGAAGGGAAAGGATGAGAGAGGACTCGCCCATATACACACTTTTGGTAAACACCTGTGTGTACTTGGGAGGGTCCGGATGGAGAGGGAGGTCCTCTCCTCTCCTCTTTTCTCTTAGGGATCATGATCATCTTGCCCACTCTCAGGACGCCCACGTTGGTTCACGCACACTTGATCAGTGAGCAGCAGGCACAGGGCACCACGTTAGAACCTCAAACTTATGTCACTCAGAGTATGGATAGCCAAACGGTGACAGCCGTCGTCGGTGCCTTTCGGATCTAACCAAATCTAAGTTTGGGGTGTCCTTAACACCAAAGGGAAGGGGATTTAGTGAGGCCGGGGGAGGGATGGGGGGGCGGTGTGGTCGGGGAGGAAGGGGGTGAGCGGGTGGTAATACCCATGGATGGTGAACACGCGCCCAGGCCGACCGCTGCAGAGTGGCGTCAGAAAGATGCAAGGAACTGGCTAACTGGCTGACTGTCTGCAGGGAAGAATGGCTGCAGAGAGCTGGAAAGACGAAATGGCAAAAAAAAAAAAAAAAAGCAGACCCACCCTGCTCTTTGCCCAGTTTCTTGGAGAGAGGTGAGGCCAGGTGCACTTCCGGAGACCTGCTAGGCTCTGATCCTCTGGGGCGAAACTGGGTGAGACCCACTTCTGGCCCACAACTTCAGGGAGGACTGGGAGGAAGTACACCTCCAGGGCAGTGGCATGGAGTTCTTTCCGGGGTGGGGGCGAAGGTCCTCATGCCCCTTGGGGTGTCTTCCCTGGCCTCTTCTGACTCAGGCCCCACTGCTGACCCTCAGGGTCCTCACAAACGGTGGTCGTTCCCTTCCCTCCTTCACTCGGAAGGAATAGAAGTGATGACGCCTAGGGACGCACAGCGGACACGGAAGACCCTCCCCTTGCCCTTCAGGGTCTCAGCTTCTGGGTGTTGGGGACACATCCATTCCCTTGCCTCTCTGGGCCTCCATTCCCCGGTTCACAAGGGGACCGCAGGGCAATTGGGATTCAGTTCCCTTTCCCGTAGCGAGTCCTCTTAGGTGGGCTGCCTGCAACGGAAGTGGACCTCTCCTCCCCACCCCCAACCCCCTTGACCCAGCCTGGGCTTTGGGCTTCCTCCTCTGTAAAAGGGGGAGAGGGAACTCCAGGAAGCTGGAGCTGGGGTGGTCACTGGCGATGGCTCAATCCACTGGCGGTGACTAGGTGACACCAGCAGTGGCAGTGGGGTAGTGGAAGCGGAGGGGAACCCCCTGGGTCCCTGGGGACTCCCGAGGCAGGCATCAGCCGCGGGTCCAGGAACGCGGGCCTCACAGGTGTCCGTCGAGGGCGTGGCTCACAGGCTCCGCCCCGCAGGGGGCGGGGCCTGCTGGCTATATAAGGCCGGCCTGGGCCTGGACGCCCGGGGCTCTTTTGCTTGAGGGACAGCACACCCCACCGCGCAGCTGCTTGCCGCCGCCACAGGCCTGTCTCCCGGCTCCGTGCACCAGGCCGCCCGCCCGTGCCGCCGCAGCCTTTACCGTCGCCGAGGACACCGAGGACACCGGCCTGCGCACACCGGGTGGCACCTCCCTCCTCCACCCCACTTCCCGGTGCTGAACCCCACCACCGTACCTGGCACGCCCCAGGGCCCACCTGCCGCCCAGCTCGCCGCCGCAGGAGCGACTCCCAGCGAACTCCACCAAGCTCCCGTGCGGAGGCCGCCCAAAGCGCCCACCCCACCCGGCACCGCTGCGCGCCAGCGCCCATCGGCGGGATGGCGGCCCAGTGGGCTCGCCAGACGGTGCAGAAGCTGCAGGCGCGCCTGGCCACCCACGCCCACGACCCTCGCGAGCTCCGCCAGTGCTTGGAGAGGCTCTCCGTCTTGCCCATGACAGGGGACATCCTGGCCGACACCGGCGTCCGAAAGACGGTGAGGGGCTTGCGCAAACACCAGCTCGTGGGCAGCTTGGCCAAGGAGCTGGCCGCCCGTTGGAAGATCCTGGCTCTGCTGGATCGCGAGGCGCGGCCTGAGCACCGGGTCGCTCCTGGCGAGCGCCCCGCAGATGCTCTTCCTGGGCGGCGGCAGCACGGGGAAACGGACGCGCAGCGGGAGCTCGGGCCCCCTGGCAAGCGAGCTCCCAGTCCCGAGGGCGCGACAGAGCACGGGAGGAAGCGCCCCAGAGAGGCACCAGCTCCTTCCTCAGACTTCCTCAGGCTTCAGGCCCCTCGGGGGGGCTCCGCGGGGCCCCCTCAGGTGGCCCGGCACCCGTCCACATCCCCGCGGGAGCCCGGACCCGCTGCTCCAGCGGACATCTCTGCAGTAGGCGGAACCCAGGCCTCCCACGAAGGGCCCGGGCTCCGGCCACGCCCAAGCACCGAGAAAGAATTCCAGGAGCCCGCCTCGTCTTTTCAGGCCTGCCTACACTATGAGGAGCCCCCGAAGAAAAAGAAGGCGCCTGGCAAAACTTCTGCCACTTCTACACTGGCAGAGACACAGCCGACAAGAGGTGCCTCCCAAAGCGGCCCCCGAGACTCCGACTTGCTGGGGAAATTACCTAAGGTGAAGGGACACGAGGAGCCCCAGAAGCCGCAGCCGGCCGAAGCCGATGCGGCCAAGCTGGAGAAGGTGTCCAGCGCGGCCGCGGCGATGCCGCCGCCGGCACTCCCCTTCCCCGGGGCGCAGGCCAGCTGCAGTCCCCTTCCCGCCCTCCACGCCAGCTCCCCCTTCCACGCACTGGGAGCGGCAGCGCCGTCTTGGCTCCACGAAGGGGAAGAGGAAGACCAAGACGGAGAGGAAGATCGAGCGGCAGAGGCAGAGGAAGGACCCGAGCAAGGGGCCGCATTTACTGGGGGCAGAGTGTATTCCAAGATGCCCGTGTATTCTGGCTCCAAGCGGGGCTCCTTCCGCCGCCGCCGCTGCCGCCGCCGCAGCCAGCAGGACATGCGGGAAGAGACAGGGCTCCTGGAATGCTCCTCGGAAGGAGCGGGAACCCCCGACTGCCTTCCCGAGCCCGCCTGGGAGACCTGTAGTCCTGCTCAGCTCTGGCGCACGCAGAAATCTCGCCACGTTCCGGTGGAACAGACAGACCGCTTGTGGAGAAGGCGTTGCAGCAAAGACTTTAAGGGGGAAACGCCGCGGGAGCGAGAGTCCTGGCGCGAGATGTACCTGCGGCTTCGCGAGGCCCGAGAGCGGCGACTCCAGGCAGTGGCCGCCAGGATCCAATCTGCACAGGCCAAGAAGGCCCACGGCCGACAGACACAGATGATCCTCTTCAATCCTCTGGCCCAGCCACCTGACCAGATTGCCGGGTGGCAGCAGAAGTCGCCAGGGGCAACAGCCCCATCCCGCACAGGCAGCAGCTTCAGCGGTGCCAGCAGCGCCAGCGGGAATCCAGGTGCTCAGAGACCAGCCTGTGCCTCTGGGAGCGCCGCAAGGGCTCCCGCTCCCGCTCCCTCCGTGCTGGCGGCCAACACCAGGAAAGCTACAGCCAAGAAAGCTGCCCCGCTCATGGCCAAGACGCTTAGAGATTACAAGCACTGCAAGAGCAGATCCTACCGGCCATGAACTCAGGACACTCCTCTCAGTGAGACTTCAGGAGGACTTCACCCTGAGTCTTCCCCCGCGGGGTGGCGGGTGGGTGTGGGGACGATGAGCTCTCAGGCTCCCAATCCCCTTCACCCCGCAGCCCGAAGGTCTCCAGCGTGGGACCCGGCATCCCTCATCTTCGCGGCTTCCTTCCGCTTTTCTTCTGGCTCCCATAGGCGCTAGGCGCTCTCCTCAACGGGCTAACTTAAAGGGGCGGTGGCGCCAGGGCGCACTGGCTAGCTGATGACTGAGTTCGGTTTGCAATCTCACACGACGCCAGGCCTCCTTCAACACACATCCTCAGGCCAGTGTATGAAGCACACGCCTCAACTGCACGACGCACAGATGAAAGCAATAAAACCTGTGCCACCCAGGGGAACGGAGGGGGGGGCTGGGGGGGAGTTTTGGGGGTGGTGGGTGGGCTGATGGCTGGCAGCGAAGAAAGCAAGAGCAAGCCCAGGATGGTGGCACGCACCTGGACCCCCAGCTACTGGGGTGGCTGAGAGGGAAACCCTTGTGCTGAGGGACTCAGCACTGGACTGGGGACCTAGGAAGCCAGATCATCTCAACAACCACAAGAACAACAGAAACAACACAGGGAGGGAACCAGGGAGGAAGGGAGCGGGGAAAGGCGGGAGGAAGGGAGGGAGAGGGAGGCACAAAACTCTGATAGAGTTCAAAGATGCTCTGTGTAATGAAAGTGCAAACTGTGGCAGTCCAACGTTTGCCCTGTGGAATGAATAAAGTCTAAAGGATAACACGCTTGGTGTGTTACAGCCGATGACCACACGTTGCTAGGCACTGGGTGGGCAGATACAACTTGTAGGAGAGGTAAGAGGTGCACATTGAAAACGTGGCCATTCAGCGGGGGGGGGGTGCTACTTGTAGAGGGAGAGACTGCAGTATGGGAGAATCTCAGCGGGCCAAAGCACAACCTCTGCAACCAGCGGCCACGGGAAAGCAGACCAGGGCCCCTGGAGCAATCGGCCTAGCAGGGTCCGTCAAGATTGGGTCGGCGAGGGCCAGCCTCCCGTGTTGCTGCCCACAGGGCGTGAGGCAGGACCAAGCAGAGAGGACCAAATATGCTCTCCAGACCAGTCTCAGAAGATGCCCTGCTGCCTGAGAGCCCGCTTCCATCTTCTCCGTGTCAACAAGCTCTGGACAGACAGAAGGACAGACAAAAAGTGCCCAGAGGGCATCACGGGTGTGCTGGGGAGGAGTAGCCAGCAGGATAGGAAGTTCAAGGCCAGCCTGGACTACAGGTCCTGTCTCCAAAACCACCATCCATCCATGCATCCATCCAGCCATTCAAGCAAGCGAACAAACCAACAAAGGAAACCAAGAGAGAGAAGGGAAAGGATGAGAGAGGACTCGCCCATATACACACTTTTGGTAAACACCTGTGTGTACTTGGGAGGGTCCGGATGGAGAGGGAGGTCCTCTCCTCTCCTCTTTTCTCTTAGGGATCATGATCATCTTGCCCACTCTCAGGACGCCCACGTTGGTTCACGCACACTTGATCAGTGAGCAGCAGGCACAGGGCACCACGTTAGAACCTCAAACTTATGTCACTCAGAGTATGGATAGCCAAACGGTGACAGCCGTCGTCGGTGCCTTTCGGATCTAACCAAATCTAAGTTTGGGGTGTCCTTAACACCAAAGGGAAGGGGATTTAGTGAGGCCGGGGAGGGATGGGGGGCGGTGTGGTCGGGGAGGAAGGGGGTGAGCGGGTGGTAATACCCATGGATGGTGAACACGCGCCCAGGCCGACCGCTGCAGAGTGGCGTCAGAAAGATGCAAGGAACTGGCTAACTGGCTGACTGTCTGCAGGGAAGAATGGCTGCAGAGAGCTGGAAAGACGAAATGGCAAAAAAAAAAAAAAAAAGCAGACCCACCCTGCTCTTTGCCCAGTTTCTTGGAGAGAGGTGAGGCCAGGTGCACTTCCGGAGACCTGCTAGGCTCTGATCCTCTGGGGCGAAACTGGGTGAGACCCACTTCTGGCCCACAACTTCAGGGAGGACTGGGAGGAAGTACACCTCCAGGGCAGTGGCATGGAGTTCTTTCCGGGGTGGGGCGAAGGTCCTCATGCCCCTTGGGGTGTCTTCCCTGGCCTCTTCTGACTCAGGCCCCACTGCTGACCCTCAGGGTCCTCACAAACGGTGGTCGTTCCCTTCCCTCCTTCACTCGGAAGGAATAGAAGTGATGACGCCTAGGGACGCACAGCGGACACGGAAGACCCTCCCCTTGCCCTTCAGGGTCTCAGCTTCTGGGTGTTGGGGACACATCCATTCCCTTGCCTCTCTGGGCCTCCATTCCCCGGTTCACAAGGGGACCGCAGGGCAATTGGGATTCAGTTCCCTTTCCCGTAGCGAGTCCTCTTAGGTGGGCTGCCTGCAACGGAAGTGGACCTCTCCTCCCCACCCCCAACCCCCTTGACCCAGCCTGGGCTTTGGGCTTCCTCCTCTGTAAAAGGGGGAGAGGGAACTCCAGGAAGCTGGAGCTGGGGTGGTCACTGGCGATGGCTCAATCCACTGGCGGTGACTAGGTGACACCAGCAGTGGCAGTGGGGTAGTGGAAGCGGAGGGGAACCCCCTGGGTCCCTGGGGACTCCCGAGGCAGGCATCAGCCGCGGGTCCAGGAACGCGGGCCTCACAGGTGTCCGTCGAGGGCGTGGCTCACAGGCTCCGCCCCGCAGGGGGCGGGGCCTGCTGGCTATATAAGGCCGGCCTGGGCCTGGACGCCCGGGGCTCTTTTGCTTGAGGGACAGCACACCCCACCGCGCAGCTGCTTGCCGCCGCCACAGGCCTGTCTCCCGGCTCCGTGCACCAGGCCGCCCGCCCGTGCCGCCGCAGCCTTTACCGTCGCCGAGGACACCGAGGACACCGGCCTGCGCACACCGGGTGGCACCTCCCTCCTCCACCCCACTTCCCGGTGCTGAACCCACCACCGTACCTGGCACGCCCCAGGGCCCACCTGCCGCCCAGCTCGCCGCCGCAGGAGCGACTCCCAGCGAACTCCACCAAGCTCCCGTGCGGAGGCCGCCCAAAGCGCCCACCCCACCCGGCACCGCTGCGCGCCAGCGCCCATCGGCGGGATGGCGGCCCAGTGGGCTCGCCAGACGGTGCAGAAGCTGCAGGCGCGCCTGGCCACCCACGCCACGACCCTCGCGAGCTCCGCCAGTGCTTGGAGAGGCTCTCCGTCTTGCCCATGACAGGGGACATCCTGGCCGACACCGGCGTCCGAAAGACGGTGAGGGGCTTGCGCAAACACCAGCTCGTGGGCAGCTTGGCCAAGGAGCTGGCCGCCCGTTGGAAGATCCTGGCTCTGCTGGATCGCGAGGCGCGGCCTGAGCACCGGGTCGCTCCTGGCGAGCGCCCCGCAGATGCTCTTCCTGGGCGGCGGCAGCACGGGGAAACGGACGCGCAGCGGGAGCTCGGGCCCCCTGGCAAGCGAGCTCCCAGTCCCGAGGGCGCGACAGAGCACGGGAGGAAGCGCCCCAGAGAGGCACCAGCTCCTTCCTCAGACTTCCTCAGGCTTCAGGCCCCTCGGGGGGGCTCCGCGGGGCCCCCTCAGGTGGCCCGGCACCCGTCCACATCCCCGCGGGAGCCCGGACCCGCTGCTCCAGCGGACATCTCTGCAGTAGGCGGAACCCAGGCCTCCCACGAAGGGCCCGGGCTCCGGCCACGCCCAAGCACCGAGAAAGAATTCCAGGAGCCCGCCTCGTCTTTTCAGGCCTGCCTACACTATGAGGAGCCCCCGAAGAAAAAGAAGGCGCCTGGCAAAACTTCTGCCACTTCTACACTGGCAGAGACACAGCCGACAAGAGGTGCCTCCCAAAGCGGCCCCCGAGACTCCGACTTGCTGGGGAAATTACCTAAGGTGAAGGGACACGAGGAGCCCCAGAAGCCGCAGCCGGCCGAAGCCGATGCGGCCAAGCTGGAGAAGGTGTCCAGCGCGGCCGCGGCGATGCCGCCGCCGGCACTCCCCTTCCCCGGGCGCAGGCCAGCTGCAGTCCCCTTCCCGCCCTCCACGCCAGCTCCCCTTCCACGCACTGGGAGCGGCAGCGCCGTCTTGGCTCCACGAAGGGGAAGAGGAAGACCAAGACGGAGAGGAAGATCGAGCGGCAGAGGCAGAGGAAGGACCCGAGCAAGGGGCCGCATTTACTGGGGGAGTGTATTCCAAGATGCCCGTGTATTCTGGCTCCAAGCGGGGCTCCTTCCGCCGCCGCCGCTGCCGCCGCCGCAGCCAGCAGGACATGCGGGAAGAGACAGGGCTCCTGGAATGCTCCTCGGAAGGAGCGGGAACCCCGACTGCCTTCCCGAGCCCGCCTGGGAGACCTGTAGTCCTGCTCAGCTCTGGCGCACGCAGAAATCTCGCCACGTTCCGGTGGAACAGACAGACCGCTTGTGGAGAAGGCGTTGCAGCAAAGACTTTAAGGGGGAAACGCCGCGGGAGCGAGAGTCCTGGCGCGAGATGTACCTGCGGCTTCGCGAGGCCCGAGAGCGGCGACTCCAGGCAGTGGCCGCCAGGATCCAATCTGCACAGGCCAAGAAGGCCCACGGCCGACAGACACAGATGATCCTCTTCAATCCTCTGGCCCAGCCACCTGACCAGATTGCCGGTGGCAGCAGAAGTCGCCAGGGGCAACAGCCCCATCCCGCACAGGCAGCAGCTTCAGCGGTGCCAGCAGCGCCAGCGGGAATCCAGGTGCTCAGAGACCAGCCTGTGCCTCTGGGAGCGCCGCAAGGGCTCCCGCTCCCGCTCCCTCCGTGCTGGCGGCCAACACCAGGAAAGCTACAGCCAAGAAAGCTGCCCCGCTCATGGCCAAGACGCTTAGAGATTACAAGCACTGCAAGAGCAGATCCTACCGGCCATGAACTCAGGACACTCCTCTCAGTGAGACTTCAGGAGGACTTCACCCTGAGTCTTCCCCCGCGGGGTGGCGGGTGGGTGTGGGGACGATGAGCTCTCAGGCTCCCAATCCCCTTCACCCGCA